CACTATTGGTCTCAGTACTACCAGTTGTCGGAGGTAAAAAATGTTATCCTGATAATTGTCGTTGTGAGCACTATTGGTCTCAGTACTACCAGTTGTCGGAGGTGAAAAATGTTATCCTGATAATTGTCGTTGTGAGCACTATTGGTCTCAGTACTACCAGGTGTCGGAGGTGAAAAATCTTATCCTGATAATTGTCGTTGTGAGCATGTTGTGAGCATGTCGGCTCTTCAGCCAGCAAGCAGGTCTTCCTCTTCCATGAGGAGGAAGCAGCAGATGAAGAATGGCAGACTCGCATACGACTCGTTTTTGAATCGTCGCCGCGGGATCGAAGCCACACAACATGCTGTTGTTCCTGCTTGCTCTGTAACTGAGGAAGCAACGAGGAGACATGTCCGCAGCAACCAGGCTGCCTGGGGCAACATACGAGGCAACATCCCACGTACTAGGCCGTCGTTGCGGTTATCTCCAACGTTACTGCCAGAATTTTACCAACAGAATGTTGCTGATACTTCTAGTACCTTCTCAAGCTGCTACAAAAATCATGTTGTTGATGTGACACACAAATATAATCGCTTGGACAAGGCGATCACGGAGCAAGCGAAGGTTGATCTATTCCTGACGAGATATGCGAGGACTCTGAAAACGAAGCTTCGAGGTGAGTCGTTAGCTTTAGCTTTCGAATTTCCATCACGTAGAATGGGAGATGCCATTTCTCCGACTCTGTACCTATGCTGGACACCAGCGAAGGGTGATGTCATAGCCGAAGAACTGGCAAGAGATCGACAAGGATGGGGTCTAACGGTATATGGGAGCTTGTTTAGGGAAGTGAGGGAAGCTATGTTGAGGCCTGCTGTATCGAGGAATGAAGTCGGATCTGGAATGGAAGCGGAGGTGGGAGGCAAGGACACCAGTGAACTAAATCTCGGTGCTGAAAGCGCAGTCGAAGTTAAGGCTTTTTTATGTTATAATATTACACAGGAAGTGAGGCTCGATATCTCTCACAGTGCATGTTATAGCACTGTAAGTAAGGCTCGATATCTCTGACAGTGCGGTCATTATAAGGTCACTTGCATGATACCTACAGCTCTAAGAGTAGTTTTGGTGAAACCTGTTGTCCAGATCTATTTTGGAATCTCGTGCATGGGGCGCAGATGGCAGAACACGCTTCTACATCAAGCAAAGAAACAACAGCGGATGCTACAAGACCGTCACTAAGAGTATGCCTTGTATTAAGGGTAGGTTAAAGGTGCTTTTCTTACCGCTTTTTAATATGCCTTTCTCCCTTAGAAGAAAGGCATAAACAGCGGGGTAAGCAAGCACCAAAAACCTACCTCTAATTGTACGCGGCGAAGCAAATTCTAGGAGGAGGCTGGGGAGAAGGCGCAGTTGTGAGGGATTTCGTGGCAGTAAAATGCATTTGGACCCAGCAGTGGTTCTCTCAAGATTTTTATTTAAAACGTCTACAAGAGTAAGAGTTGGCTACACCAGTTGTACTCAGCGGCGAACATTCCATATTACTAGCGCCGGTGGCGATCCTCATTTGCGAAACTTCTCTCTCCAGAGAATAGGACAATTTGCCCGGATGAACAAGTCGTTCTTTCGTGTATTGCGCCAGAATGCAGTTTTTACGCCTTTCGACATTGCATTCTTCACTACCATTCTTCACTCGTTTTCCAGTAGGGTTTAGGGTTGTGAAGAATGTAATTCCGTAACCTCTAAAAATGGTCTGTCTTCAAGTGTAAGCGATCTAGCATTGCGGAAACAAATCATAAAACAAGAAGTTGCTGGTATAGCCACAGACCCGGGAGTTGATCCAAGATCTAGCAATGCAGTGTCATTGGAATACAGGAGGTCAGTGCATTTTGCACTACAAACTGCAAAGGGAACGACTCTACCGAGAAGGAGGTCGAGTAGATCAACGAGAGGCCAATCCGTCATGAAGAAAGGCAACATTATTCCAGTCGCAAACTGTATCAGACCACCAGTACTGCTGTCGTCCATCTTGGATTTCAGGGAATTGTCACCTGCTAATATCAGCAGTGCATCGTCTTTGGCGGGAAAGAGCAGGGGAAGTGGCTCGTCTCACGAAAATGACTCATCACTACCAGCAGAGACCGGTAGTGGTTGGAGCAAATGGTTCAACGGCGGGAGTGGATCCTGTTTAGATTCTCTGCCGAAAGAAACGGAAGAAGCTTCTTTAGATTTGGGTAGAGGTCATTACGGCTCATCTTTATCCATCTTATGATGCATCCTGTAGCGGCTCTTCTCGAAAATTTCGAGCGGAAGAAGCGCCCAGGATGCGCCTCCAGATGGATAAGGAGAGCGCCAAGTTCAGGGCAGAGGTAATCATGCTGTGGTCGGATCTGCAAGTACGAAAGTCAAGGAGCCATCAGACACCACAAAGAAGGGCCTCCTTAGCAGACTCGGCATGTCGAATTTTTTCAGCATGTTTTCGTCTGCTGATGCGGGCAAGACAAAGGATAGTCAAGAGGCTGCTTCTACGAAAATTTCTAGTACTGTTTGTGGCGAAGGGCAAGAGGCGATTGGAGAGAGCAAAATTTGTGACCAAAACTCTGCCGCGGGAAGTTTCGACATCGGCGTATCCGAGGAAGAAGTGGGTGCTTCAGAGGGGGCCCAAGTCAGAGCTCAAGCCGCCGGGACCAGTGCGCAAAGCAGAGAATACAATGCAGTAGACTCAGAGATAGAGGATGAAGCGAAACGATTAGAAAAGGAGATAGCAGAATTGGAGAAAATGCTTGTTCAGGAAGAGAAGATTCCGAAATCAAAGGGTGGCAAGCAACGGGAAGCGAAGCCGGAGGAGACCATTTAGATTTAGACTTTAATGGCCGCGGCTTTGGATGTGAAAATATGAAGACCCCCTTTTCATAGATCTCGACGCCTTCGTCTAGTCCCAGAATTCCCATACCTGTCTAGTAGAGTAGAACGATCGCGATCAATGTTTCACTCTTTTAACGAAGGACGGCCTCGGAGCCCACGCACACATCCTCTGTGAGTCAGGGGCCCACGCTGATGCTTAGCGGTTTTTTGTGGGTTTTTGCGAAGGCGGTCTAGAGCGGGAAGCGAAGCCGGAGAAGACCATTTAGATTTAGATTAGGGATTCTTTGACCGAGGTCGATTTAGATTTTGGCAGCAGAGAAGACCATTTAGATTTAGATTAGGGATTCTTTGACCGAGGTCGATTTAGATTTTGGCAGCAGTTTTGGATTTAGATTTAGATTAAACATTGGATAAGCTCATGCGATTCTAAGATACGCAGCTACGCAGCGAATGTTCGCTAGTGCAATTCTTGATGTTTTTCTTGATTATTTAGATTTCTCGCTATTTAGACGAGAAGTGACTGTATGGGATATGTTCGAGCTTACAACAATGAAATCTAACGTGATTCTCAAACCAAAATTTAAGTTCAATGTGACAACTGAGAGACGTTTTGATGTGAAGGTATTATAAATTCTCTTTGAACTCTAAATCCAAAGTACAAAGCGCAAAAAATGGATCTCGAAAGCCATGAAATTGAAAGCCAAAAGATCGAAATCAAAATGAATTTCTGAGAATGCAAAGCAGAAATCCAAATTTAGATTTTGTGAAGGATCATTCAACAAAAATGCAAAATGGACGGAAATCTAAAGATCTCGAAATCGAAAGATCCTCCGTATACTAGACGTATAGTGTACAGCAGAGAAGGAATTTTATAGGAAAATCAGCTCGATTATAGGGCTCATTATTTTCCCTCTGTGAATTCTGAGTTCTCGTTACGAGCTAGAGAAATCTTTGACATCGCGCCATACTGAGGCCTAATTACCCTTGGTCGCAGTAGACTCGTTCTATTGTGTTAGCCCCGCGGTGACATTTTTCTTCAGCTCCGGATTTTTCCTGAGAATTCGATTCCCAGTGTATTTTTCCTTGTGTAGGTGCAAAGATCACCATTCTCGATGTAGTCTAAATCAGCTCGATTATAGGGCTCACTGTTCCTTTTTCTGTAGGCATTGAGTTCTCGTTACGAGCAAGAGTAATCTTTTGACGTCGCGCCATACTGAGGACTAATTACCCTTGGTCGCAATAGAGTTTCACACATCTATTGTGTTAGCCCCGCGATGACACGCTCAAAGCTCACAGACCTGCGAGGACGGAATTATTAAAATCTAAATTTTTCGTCACTGAAGATTCACCAGATCCTCATATCCAACTTGCAAATTTTAGAAGTTCAAGATCAAAGTTCAACTTTTCAAGGCCCAGATTGCTTCATTAATCACTTACGGATTCTTTTCTGTTCTTACTAGAGCTAGAATGACAAGACATCTCCGTTCTCTCATCATTCATCCTCCTTCTTCCAACCCAACCGTCCAACAGGGATTGAATATATAAAAAAACGGGCCACACATCGTGAGGTCGAAAACTGCAAAAAGTAAGAAAAACCTAAAAAAAAAAAGCCATCTCAAACAAGAAATCACTACTAAACTAACCACTAGTTGTCTAAACAACACTAAAGATCACGTCAAGTTCTTTTCAACACCACCAAACACATCTCAAGAAGATCATCAACAACAACAAAAGTTCTTTTTCAACCACTACCAAAACCACCAATCAAAATGATGAACTCTGTTCCGGGAACCGCCGCCGTCGGCGCCGTCACTCAGCCGACTGGTGCTCCTCAGTTCGCTTCGCTCTACGTGGGCGACTTGGATCCAGAGGTCACGGAGGCCATGCTCTATGAGATTTTTAACACGGTTGGACCGGTCGCTTCCATCCGTGTCTGCCGTGACTCGGTCACTCGTCGCAGCTTGGGATATGCCTACGTATAATTTTGAATCTAGATTTTTGGATTTTGTTGAGAATGTAGATTGTTGATTTAGATTTTTTGTTGATTTAGATTTTTTGTTGATTTAGATTGTTGATTTAGAAATTGGATGATGGGGATAGAATTTAGAGTTTGGGAAGCCAATAGGTTTTCTGAGATTAAGTTGAAACTTCGATCTGTGAGTATTCACAATTCTACTGCAGATTTGGACCACAGCTCGAATACATTTAGAAAAGTCACATTACAACTGAGATATACACTCCCGATACGAACATTTAGATTTTTTCAGCGATACGACAAACATCAATCTCTAGCACCTTAGGCGTAATCGCTAATCCAAAAACCTCAGGTCAACTTCCACTCCGCTAACGATGCTGAGCGTGTTATGGACACCCTGAACTATTCCACGATCAAGGGACGCTGCTGCCGTACTTTAGACTTTGGAATTTAGAATTCTTGTGGGTACTAGGGATGGAGACCGGTGTGAAATTCTTGCAAAGAAACAATCTGTTCAGAGATTCTGCTGTGCATGAGAAAGAGTTTTGTTTAGGTGTCGACCACAGATTCGAACTCTCTTCAATTCTGAATTTCCGCTCTCTCCAACTCTGAGCACCACAAATCTCTCTTCACAGGTATCATGTGGTCCCACCGTGACCCCAACTTGCGTAAGACCGGAAACGGAAACGTCTTCGTGAAAAACCTCGATAAGGCCGTCGATAACAAGGCTCTGTATGATACCTTTTCTCTTTTCGGAAATATCTTGTCGTGCAAGGTCGCCACCGATGCGGAAGGCAAGTCCCGTGGATACGGTTTTGTCCACTACGAAACTGCGGAGGCAGCTAAGCAGGCTATTGAGAAGGTATTGAGAGTAGATTTTAATTTGGAGATCTGCCTTGATGATTTGAAAAAGAAGATTCTTCAAACATGATCATAGCTGTAATTTAATATTTTGTTTGAGAAAGTCACTGCCACACACCTGATCATCAGGTCAACAACATGCAAATCGGCGAGAAGACCGTCTATGTTGGCGAATTCATCCCCCGCGATGGACGCACCCCTGCTGAGATCACCAACTTCACCAACATTTACGTGAAGAACTACCCGGATGAGTGGGATGAGGCTCGGCTGCTCCAGGAGTTCGAGAAGTACGGCAAGGTCACTTCCTCCATGTGCCAGAAGGACAAGAAGAACCGCAACTTTGCGTTCATCAACTTCGAGGAGGCCGATGACGCTCATAAGGCTATTGAGGATATGCATCGCAAGGACCTGCGTTCAGAGGAGGAGAAGAGCAAGCACCCGGAAGGCAAGCCGGATGAGTCCGATGCCGAGCGCCCGAAAATCGACCCGGATGACCACCCGGAACACCTCGTGTACTTCTTCTTCTTTTTCTTCTTCTTCTTCTTAAATGTATTTGTACTTCAGAGACTGACTGTGACTGACGATCTAGAAGATCCTTCCGCACAAGCTTGCTCAACATACTTTCTTGTCCTTTCAAAAAATCCTCCACAAAATAACCACACACAGCTTCTGCTCTCGTGCTATGACCAAGGCCGAGCGTGAACAGATGCTCAAGAGCAAGTTCAAGTCTTCCTGGACTGCGCCAGTCGGCGTCAACCTGTACATCAAGAACTTGCCGGAGGATGCCAACGACGCGGAATTGCGATCCATGTTCCAACCGTTCGGTGAAATCACCTCGGCTCGCGTCATGTGCGACAACAAGAGCCGTTCTAAGGGCTTCGGTTTCGTCTGCTACAAGACCCCGGATGAGGCGACCAAGGCGGTTACCGAGATGCACTTGAAGGTATGGCTCTAAAGTTTTGATGTCTGTTTAGGAAGAGATCAAGGTTTAGATTGATGCTCAATCATGATGATGATGCTCAATCATGATGTTGGCTTTGCTTTGAGTTATCACGAATGTAGGAATTTAGATTTGGTTTTGCACCAGGAACTTGAGACCGTCCATATACCACCCTTTAACAGAAAATAGATTTAGACTTGTGTTCATTTACATTCCATGCTCAAATCCTCTTTCCTAAACCCTAAACCCTAAAACACAGACCGTCCGCGGTAAGCCCCTCTACGTCGGCCTCGCCGAAAAGAAGGAAGAGCGCGTCACCCGCTTGGCTCAGCGTTACAAGGGAGAGAAGGGTAAGGGTGGCCTCGTCACCTTCGATGCCACTGCTGGTAAAGGAGCTGCTGGTATGGGTCTTCCGGGAGGTATTCCGGGAGGTGTCGCCGGTAAGGGCGCCATGCCGCAGGGCATTCCGAACTACAACTACCCAGGTGCTGTGCCAGGACCGCAACAGATGCAGAATGGTACTGGCTTAAATGCAATTTTTGGCTCAATTATAGGAGTAGCGGAAGGTCTGTCTGAAGTTGTTGCAAGTCATGAGTGTCATGACTCCATATTGAATTTGCCATCCTTTTGCAAAAATCCTTTCACAAGAATCCTGCAGAATCCGTCTCCAACGTCTCCAACGTCCCCTCCACCCCAAATCAGGTGTCGCCATGCCAGGAAAGGGAGGACAGATGGTCCCGATGCAGCTCCCAGGTCAGATGTTGGGTCAGCAGAACGGTCGTCCGATCATGGCTAACTTCCCGGGTCAGAGACCTCCGATGATGGGATACCCAGCTCCGCAGATGATGCAAAACCCGGCTATGATGGGCAAGGTAGCTTGAGAGCTTTTTATCGCTTGACCACGTAGCTGTGTCATTCTAGTTCTCCGTAGAAAATGAAAATCTACTAGCACCAATCCTCCTCTTCCAGCAAAAATCCTCCATCACAAAACAATCATAGGGCCAAATGATGCCAGCTGCTATGCAGATGGGTAAGGGCTTCGGACAGATGGGAGGAAAGGTTGGTGGACAGCCGCTCCCAATGGCTATGCATGGTGGAAAACAACCTCTGCCGCAACGTGTTGATCAACCATTGACCGCAGCTATGTTGGCTCAGGCGCCGCCAGGCATGCAGAAGCAGATGCTCGGTGAAAAGTTGTACCCAGCTGTGAGCCGATTGCAGCCGGAATTGGCTGGTACTTACGACAGATTTTTTTATGCATATAACAAATGAAGTTGTGATTTGATTTTGATGTTAGTTTGATTTTTAATTCATGTTGTAGTTTTGGAGGAGACTCAAATCGATCTTTTCCAATCTATGGTTCCTCAACACATTCTCCACTCATCTCAAGCACCGTGACAGAGATTCTCCACCCCATCTCTCTCCCACAACCACAACCTTAGGCAAGATCACCGGTATGATGTTGGAGATGGATAACAGTGAGCTTTTGATGATGCTCGATTCCGAGACGCAGTTGCGCCAGAAGGTTGAGGAAGCTATGCGCGTCCTTCAACAGATGCCGAAGTAAAAGAATTTACTCTTAGCGGTAGACGTCTAGAGGACGAGAATTCTATAGAGGAGAAAATTGCTAGTAGTAGAGGAGAAGAAAATTGCTAGTAGTAGAGGAGGAGAAAATTGCTAGTAGTAGAGGAGGAGAAAATTGCTAGTAGTAGAGGAGGAGAAAATTGCTACTAGTAGATGAGGAGGCGATACTAGTATAGTTCTTGACTAGCGGTGAACTGCTAGATGGAAAGTTAGTACGACTAGTAAACAGCTTCAGATGAATTGCTGGTGCTAACGAGCGAGTCTACTGTGGTGAAAACAACTCGGAGGTGAAAAGTAGTGAATGGGAGCACAATTCCAGTAATCTCTTGTGGTTGCGAGACCTAGGAGTATGTGGTTCTATTTCGTCGCAGGAGGCGACACAGAGGAGGCAGATTTAGTGGGAGAAGTAGTAGTATCCTGGGAGTAACGCTAATACTTCTTCAACTTCTTCTGAGACTGAAAGAGGTGCGCGATGAAGAACGGCGTGCACCTACTTCACAACATGTAAGTTATTATTGGTGCGGTGAAACTACTACTAATGCGACATGAGAACGACGAGCTGATGTACTAGTTGCATACGAACAAGGACTTACTGATACAAATGCTGGAGGTGTTGTACGGTGGTACTGGTGGTTTTTTAAGGAGAAGAACAATAATTTCTATGATAGTAGCACGAAGAACAACAACGACGAATAAGAGGTGGACGGAGCAACATAATGACTACTTCATAAATACTGACGCTATTGAGATGGGCTTACAAAGTACTTGGTTGATGTAAGACAAATTGCATGAGAATTGTGATCGGAATGTTGAGAAGATCAAGATGACTTATGATAGGTCGTCATACAAAACAAGAGTAATTATTGATGAAGATGATTCCACTTAAGGTTGAGACCCAAAACTTAAATTGTTGTGATGGAAATCAAAGAACCACTCATATTGAAAATTTGAAGGATTCTATCATTAGATCGTTAGACGTCCACCGCATATTATATTTTTCTTTGGGGGTTGCAGGTAAAAGTAGGAGAACTACTATTTAGGAAAAATGAGGAATGACTACATTAATCACAGGGTCGTGGTTGTACCAAACGCATGAGTTATCATCGTCTAAAGAGAAATAGGTGCTCTACATACGAAGAACCACACAAATGACAGGGAGTTTTTACAAAATTTAAGTACCACACGAAGATGATCAAGTCAGAACTTACTTTGTGGCAAAAACTTTGTTGTTTTGTGCTGCTCGACGAAGAAATGGAGACCTTTTTTATATGATGTAAAAAAATCAATTAGAAGAACTTTCAACTCGAGCAGGTTTCTTTTTAGCAAGAAAAATCAGCTTAAGTCATATAACACCGACAAGGCCACACGAAGGAGGTAATGGGAGACACGAAGAAAGCGCGTGTGGCGCTTCTTCAGAGAAGAGGCGAGTTGCACGTTCTTCACAATCTTTCAGTCCTGTTGGGCACGTTCTTCCTGTACCTAAAATTGATCCTGTATTTCGATTTGTTTTCATCTAATGACTATTTAATTAGGCCACTTTTCATCGCGAAGAAGGCTCGATGCAGGTGGGGGACTCAGTATCGGGCTATTTTTTACACACAAAACTTTTAGACGGTGCCGCCTAGCAGGCCGGCGACTCCATATTGGGTAAGCGACTAGGACATGTAAGACACTTCAAGAAGCTGTCACAGTGCACAGATAGCCCCGGAGGTTAACGAGGAGCACAAGGAGGTGGGGGCGATTTTTGATGTTGTGTGCCGGAGGTTAAGTACCCACAGTACCAACAACAGCGCCGCGTATCGACACTTTTCAGTGCTTGCATTCGTGACTTCTTTTTGGGTGTAACTTAAGAAAGCTATACAACCACAAGGACGATAAGTAAGAAGTAAACAGTATATTTCATTTTGGTTACTATTTTGGCCCGGAAAAATAACACTGTTCCCAGTCACTCCATTCCTGTAGGAGATATTTTCGTACCTCCAGGGGAAGAAGATGATTGTGGACATTTCTCAGGTGGAGAGTCTCTATTACAGAACTGCGCCACAATATAAAAATGAATATCCAAAAAAACAAAAAAAAGCAAAAAACTACACCAAAAAAACAAAAAAACTATTTTTTTGTCCACTTAGTTTTGGATGCTTTTTGTCATGGAAGTAAGTGGTGTATTTCACAAATATAAGGATGATCTGTGACGGCGAGGCAGTTGTGTATACAACTGCTTCGGGTCGATAAATGAATGGACAGGAACTGTAGCTGAGCTCCAATTGAATGCGGAGTACTTCTACGGGGTGCGTCCTTCTCATTCGTTTTCCGTCGTAAAAAAATGTCCCCGCTCAAAAGTTGCTTTACTCAAATACGTGCTGTCGTCGCAGTTTCTTCTAGCATGGTCTTGTTTAAAAGATATCGCAGAGGAAGCAAGGAGCTAGGCCACGCTACTAATTTCTTACTTCAAACGCTGCCACGGACCGTTCTGATTACATTGTGCATTAGAAATAGAACCCGAACCACAAGACCTCAAGCCCCCATGCCTGCGGTATACTATGGAACAACATCAAAAACTTTGCTCTTGTTGTTGCTTGAATTCAGGAATATGCGCGTGGACGTCATCAAAAAACAAAAATTATGGAAGAAGAGACCTACTGCTACTGCTACTTTGCAACTGTTGCTAAGCAGGTTCAGGTTGTCTCTTGCGACTCTTGCGTTCGCGGAGGAGACCTGTATTGCGAGTTCCATCGGAAGTTGTCCCTCTGTTCTGAAATTATCCCCAGCTGTTTCTTCGGAAATATATGAAGATGCTAACTTTTCCGTCTCTTGTATTACAAGTCCGAATTGCTAACAATGCATTCGAGGAAATTCTAACTCTCCAGCTGGTAGCGATGATCCTGGTTGAAGCAATCTGAGTCTGCAAGTGAATCTAAATCGCATGTAAAGGCAGTCGAGGTACATCAATCACGCTCAAGAAAATCAACATGCGCTTTCCATCAGAAGGTCGGTTCGCAGATGTAAGTTTTTTTGTACGGGGATCAGTCACGACTTGAAAAAATTAGAAGCGGACAGACTCACATAGCGACGACTGCAAACGCCCGCACATATATGATATACACGCGAATGAGTACCCAACAATTTTCATAACAGGCTTCGCGTGACATTAATTTTTTTGCGCCACAACGTAATGTAGTCAGTTTTTCGACAACTTTGAACTGATTTTGAAATCCGTTGTGTTTTGTCAGAACAGTTCTTCCAGCAGACCCCATCCATTTTAGTTTCGCAATTCATCGCCTTCAACAACATTTCATCTCACCAGATTTAAAACTACCAACCGAACACACAGAACATCTAGTTGGAAACATTTAGTTTTTCCATCTCTCAACAAATCTCTGTCCCTTCGAGTTGTAAGACATCAAGATATCGACAAGATGGCGATGTCAAAAGATGAATCCGTGTACATGGCCAAGCTCGCTGAGCAGGCCGAGCGCTACGATGAGATGGCCGACTACATGAGAGACGTACTATATCTTTTTCTACTCTACTCTGTAGGTGGGCGTTCGCATGTGATGGTTGTGCTCCTTGTTAGCGGGTCCTCATCCTAGCATCAGGGACGGTTATTGCCTAAAATGAAACTCTTACTCCTTAGACAAAAAACTTTTTCCCTCTATCCGTAAACCCAAAAAAATCATACCACAGGTCTCCAAGGCTGACTCTGGAGAACTCTCGGTTGAGGAGCGCAATTTGCTTTCTGTCGCCTACAAGAACGCAGTCGGATCCCGTCGTGCCTCGTGGCGTACGCTTTTCTTTTCATTAGCTAGATTTAGACGGGAAAATAACTTTTGTCCATCCATAGTTTTTTAGGCACCTTCCTCAGGGTACGGGAAAATGACTTTTGTCCATCCATGGTTTCGTATGCACCTTCCTCCAGGTATCATCTCCAGCGTAGAGCAGAAGGAGACAACAAAGGGAAACACTGAGGCCGCTGCTCGCGCCGCCCAATACAGAATGAAGGTCGAATCCGAGCTGGACGAAATCTGTACTTTTGGATATTTCTTAGATTGAGTTTTCGGTGGTGCGAATTCTTCTGTTTCTGTTCGACACGCTTGAATAATAGAAACCACCTAAATTTTCTGTGTCACAGTATAAACCAGGACAACTATCTTGCGGTGATTCTTGCTCTAGTTTGCTCTTTTCAACATCATTCTAATCCTCAATAAATGATCCTAATCCTCAGGCGCAAAGATCCTCACGCTCTTGCAAGACCATCTTATCACCAAGGAGAGCCCCCCACCGCCAGGCAAGGAAGAGTCCCAGGTACCATGCTTTCCTTAGCTTCCATCGATTGTACCTGGTAGGACCACGTTTTTGACGAAATCCATAGTCTGCAATTTGCATCTGATTCGAACCGCTTGAAGCAATTTTTCTCAGGTCATCTGACGCATCTGACGCTCTTGCCTATACGCTCACCCCTTCACAGGTGAGTCAACTCCTTTCCTATCCTAATTGAAACCACATATCGCCAGGTCTTCTACTACAAGATGAAAGGAGACTATCACCGTTACATCGCCGAGTACAAGACCGATGCCGAAAAGACGAAGGCCTCCGAGGCTGCAAAGGACGCGTACTTCCTCTACAACGTTGATTAGATGTTGATGCTCTTAACGGCTAGTAGAGTTGCGTCTTTTTGGAAATACTCTGATTGACTGATTTAAGCTTTTTGACTGTTTTTGAAAAAACTCTGATTGACTGATTTAAGCTTTTTTTATCAAAAACATAAACAATCCATGTTTCACAACAGGTACAAAGCCGCTATGCAAATCGCTGAGTCAGGACTGTTGGTTACCCATCCGATCCGCCTGGGTTTGGCTCTGAACTTCTCGGTACTAATGCATTTTCTTTTTTAATTGAATTTTGTGATCCTAAAAATCATTATGCAAGTAGATCCGACATTCCGTTAGCTTTGGCACTTTTGAGACTGCTCTTTTCTCCATCACGAAATAGAGCAGTAGAACTAAAAACCATCTTGTATCCCGACTTGTTCTGCCAACAGTGAAACTCTGAGGTGGCAGGGGAAGACGGTACTGCAAGCCTCACTGCCACAATACTCCCACTAGGAGCTGTGGTCGAGTGACCCGCTGCTTGTGAGAATCTCCTCTATCAAATAGTGCATATTAGTCCTAAATTTTGGTTACAAAACGAAAATCCCTATCATCACCAATCGATCCAACTACAGGTCTTCTACTACGAAGTGTTGAACCAGCCGGAAGAGGCCTGCACTATGGCCCGTAAGGCATTCGAGGACGCCATTGCGGAACTCGACAACGTCTCCGAGGACAGCTACAAGGACTCAACCTTGATCATGCAGCTGCTGCGTGACAACCTCACTCTCTGGACCAGTGACGAGACGGAGGGTTAAGCGCCTTCTCTCCAGTTCGTAGATACAACTTCGTAGATAAGAGTGACGTCGTTTTTACACCTAAACGGAGATTGTTCGACCACTATTGTGCCTTTCTTACAACACGACGAAAACGTTGAGGAGAGCAATAGTTTCTTCGGCTTCTTCCTTCTGGTGTACCACAACGTCACCTCGCGGTACGGTGTGAATAATTTGACGCAAAAGGTGGGCGTCTCCAAGGTCTGAGAGAAAGATTAGATTCCCATGACGCATAAGCAGAACAACGGTTTGGGTGTGGAATGGTTTAGGGGTGGATTTTTTTTCGTAGATGTAGTTGTCAGTCCGCGGGTGTCGTGATCGCAACTACTATAAGAGATTTTTATCATGTGCTTTGTCGATTTCGTAAAACAAGGTACTTACAGCCATTCATTTCTTTTGTCTTCTATAACATTTCACAAATTTGTAGCACATACTTTGAAAAATTTTTTCTTGTTCGTATGACTCAGCAACGAAGAACATTTATAATTAGTTGTTACGACTTAATACTACGGCATTACAAGCATTTATCAAGAGATCGAGTTGTGTGCTAGTACTGAGACACAACTTTTAGTGGACGATTTTCGTGCTCTTTGGTCTAGACACTAAGATGTGTTGTGATTCTTAATTCGCGTATGCCGGTCATTTCCATGTTGGGAAGTCAACGAGACGCATCTAGTTCGAGTACCTCCCTCCATAGCGCTCCTCTTCTTCTGCGCCTTACACGCTGACGCCTTGGTTTATTTGGATACGGTGGCACATGTTCGGTCCCTTTCTCCCTCCTGGAGTTTTGCCATGAATGTGCTGCCTGTGAACGAACTAGCCGATTAGCAGCTACTTGAACAGTATTGCTCGATGTGACCCTCCGATGCTCGTACATATCTATCCTTCCTGTATATAGATCACCATATGGGCGGGTTTCTGGGTATAGCTGTAGTGAGGAAGAGGGGGCGTCGCACAACATCGACTCAACTAGAGAACGTAGGGAGTGCGGCTTTTTTCGATTTCCTGTAAGACCGACAGCTCGAAGCGTCTCACGTTTTTCGGATTTTCAATAGATAGTATGGTTCGACATCATTCCACACGTGATTACATCATTCTTGTAGATATAAAATTTAAATTCGTGGTGTGGAGGATCGTCTTGATACACGTTTTAACCAGCTACTACCACTTTAGACGGATCTAAAGCATGTTTGTAGCAGCATATATAAGTACTTCTTCATGATCTCAAAAGTTGTTTTACGTCCTTTTTCAAGCACTGTATGTATGCAGGGTCACCTGTGTGCATCAATGAATTATCGCCTTTTCCCTAACAACGGTGTCACGCAACCCGATATGTATAGCTCCGTGACTCTCTGGCAACAAGAACAGACCTACTATCTTCTCCTTGTTGGTGATGTTGACGTAGTCGATGGGCAATACCAGTGTGGGGTCGAAAATTACACTTCGACCAACCTAAAACACTCCGATCATGGACGTTGTATCATCGGGAAGCTGGGTGCCGTTGAAATTATCCCGAGAGCTCCTTATAAACCTTCATTTTAAACAAAAAGGTCGTTCCTGTTTCAAAAGTCCTGATTCTCCCTGCTTGTAAGAGCTGCCTGGTTGTACTCCACGCTCCGTATTCCAATAATCGTGACGTGTTCAGCTGTAATCGGTATGGACGCCGTCGACATGAAAATCTGACTAGAAAATAGGTAATATTTCACAAGAATGTCGAGTGAAGGAACGTACGAGGTGTAGCGCTCTGAATGAATGAATGTGAACGAGAGACAGTAACGTGGAGAGCGCAGTTGTCCAGAGATTTGAGAGACCCTACCTACATTAACTCATGAAGGCCCGGCAATCCCTGACTCTGAAAATTGACCCCAGAACTACTGCTAGAAAAAGCTGCAAAAAACAGCGTGAGGTGTTTCGACGGAAAGATACTTTGTAGAACGGAAAGCCTACGGTAGCGACGTCTCTCTCTTGTAGATGATTCACAGTGAACATACCAATAAGTAGAACAACAGTAAGTTTTTATCTGCTGCTCGATCAGAAACAAAATGGCTGCAGCACCATTAACCGAGCGCGAGCAGAAGGTCTACCTCGCGAAGCTGTGCGAACAAGCTGAGAGGTAGATGAACCTTAATGACGGTATGACTCATCGTCGCCGCAAGCGGCTCTCTCAATCTGCGACCGATCCCTTAAGTCAGTATGTGTCTGAACCGGTCAGGGTTACTTGCGAGTCACCTGCCGGTTTATTGAGTAAACCAGCAATGATTCGATAGTCAGGCACAGAACCACCATTGATTCTACTTCAGGTACGACGAAATGTCAACGTACATGCGAGAGGTTGGCGAGATGGAAGAGGAACTGAATGCCGAAGAGCGCAACTTGCTTTCGGTGTCTTATAAGAATTTATGGCACTAATGATTCATATGTTGCTATTGTAGAAGTGCGTCTTTGTTGTTATAGCGAAGTGTGCTTTCGATTGGCTTCAGTCGAAAGCACAACGAGTAGCGTACCAAGTGGAACGACTACTTTTCGACGATGAATGACGCTGATACTCGAAGCTGCTATATTTTCATACACAACAGTGTGCGTGACACGAGGACTCCCACTCTTGTACTCGTTCACTCGGAAATCCCTTCCTTTGGAAAAGCTGTTTTGAACTTCGTGAAGGACTCTAATCCCCAGCGTCGGCTACAGAAGGGCGGCTTGGAGAGTAGTCAACTCCTTGGAGCAGAAGGAGCGAGCACGTGGCAATTTCGACAATGCGGCAGCGGCGGAGCAATACAAGAAAAAAGTACTCATCTCTGCTGCTTTGTTGAACGAACAGCTAGAGGAAGCTAGAAGCTAGTGATCAAATCCTTCTCTCTGTGTGTGTCTCTCTGTGTGTGTGTCTCTCTGTGTGTGTGTCTCTCTCTCCCTCTCTCTCTCGTGACCTTTGAACACATCGCCCCAATATCAACATACCTTTGAGTACATCGCCGGAATAACAACATGAACCCCTCTAAAGAAATATCACCTATTCAAGGCATAGGAGAGAAACGTCAACCGCTTGTGAAAACCTGAAAACCTTCACTCCAGATAGAAAACGAGTTGGCGAAAATCTGTGACGAGATATTGAAGTTGATTCGCATGTCACTTCTAGCCAAGTCAAGCACGGGTGAAGACAAAGTCTTTTATCTTAAGATGAAGGGAGATTACTACCGCTACAAGGCAGAGTTTGAGCCGAATGAGCAGAATCTCAAGAACCAGGCACAGGGAGCGTACGTTATACTATAATTCCATCTTCACTCAGTACTACTGAGAATTAAAAGCTTTGATTTATGGGAACGATGTCCGTGATTTGATTTGTGAGGATCTACCGAGGATCGTATGTCAGAAAAAAAATTGTTGACATCGGATAGCGCGTCACGACCCTCTTTTTGATCCTTGTCTACGAAATCTAACCGCAGGTACGCCGAAGCAATGACACTGGCACAAGCGGAATTGGTAACGACCAGTCCGATTCGACTTGGCCTCGCGTTGAACTTTTCGGTCTTCTATTTTATGGCTCTAAACCTAAAGAAGCAGTATCGATCACAGATATTGTATCGTCCTGCCGGTAGGTATGGAGAACTGGTCGGGATGCCAATCAAACAAACAGATATCGCGAAGCGAGTATCAATAAGTTTTAGCTTTCCATCTTTCGTTTCTTCTTTTCATCACCGCCGGCACTTTTCATCTCTCACCAAGAGGATCCTATTCTATTCAACCCCCCCCCTTCTAACATGCACGAAGTTTTAAATCGAAGCGACGAGGCATGTAAATTGGCAAGACAGGCATTCGAAGACGCTATCGCGGAGTTGGACTCGGTGGCGGAGGATGTGTATAAAGACGCTACCCTAATCATGCAATTGCTTCGTGATAACCTCACCTTGTGGACCTCCGATGAACAGGGAGCTTTGTAGTGGACAGGGCCGTATGTTGGAGGTTCAAATCGTTTCGATTTACAATTATTTCTGTCACTGGGACGCAATTACAGATCGCACGAATACTTCAACAGACAAGCATTCTAGTTTCGTAGTTTTTTTGTTAAGCTTCAATCACTATCACGCATTCAAGGCAACATGTCAATATGTTATTGGGAGCACGACGGAGTCGGAGAAAAGAGACGTCCGTGACAGACGACGTGCGCGATGTTACAAGACCAAAGAACGACGCAAAGTTAGTTCAACTTACAGAAAAGCAAAAGGCATTCATTTTTATTGCCCCGCTCGTCCTACAGTACCCGTCGAGTCCACTGAATTCAAAAGTAATCGGTGTTCAGTCTGTCGCACTCGTTCTTGATTCTTCAAGACCAGATCAAACACGGGGTATGAGAATATCGGGCATAATAAAGGAACTCATCATCAACTACACCAAACTAGTACAAATATCGAGACGACGAGATCGGACGAAGCGTTCACCAAACAGAACAACAAGGTCGCAATAAATAGAGCAATACTTATTCTGACGAGTAAAAAGATCTTTCTGCTTGAAGAAGGTCTCGAAAACAATAAACATAGAAGAGCAGCAAGTCTGATCTGTTCACAAGATTCTTGACGAGGATCATGTAGAGGATCATGTAGAGGCTTAGGCTTTACGGTTGCTCATGATCACGCACAGGAAGGAACATGATACCACGATGAACAAAACCCTTTTGTTGTAAGTATTTAGTCCAGTTTTAGACTCTTTCACTAGTACTGTGTTGTCTTTGTCTTTGCGTCCGTGAAGTGCATGCTTTCTCTGCGCCCACCCGAGCTGGTGCGTCGAACCTTCGAAAAATTTGCAATCGTAATTGTAATTGTGTCGAAGCAATAACCTAGTAAAAATAGTTTATATAATTGGTATACGCTTATTCGCTTTCGTTCATTCGTCCACATTTGCTCTCTGTCTATCTTGTTGGACACCATAGGAATCTTTACTCGTCTCCAACGTCGTTGATCTTCACGACTTGGCGACCTTGCATTTTTCTTGTACAAAGAAATCATGACCATCTCCAGGTGGTAGTTGCTGTACTCTAGCACCTCCTACTCCGAATTCTGCCCTTGTTTGGCCTCGAGATAAGTGCGCAGTAATACAAGGAGGTAACCGGACTCCACCTGCCGCCGGTTTGCGAACTGGTTAAAACTGGGATCACCCCTCCGGCGGTCTTGGCATACAAAAAAAAATTAGGTCAGGGTGGAGCGCATGAATTCTGGACTTGTTTTGTCAACACGTCACAACTTGTTTTTGCTGGGATATTCACTCTTCTCGATTTCCTCCTGAAGAAGCACAGCCAAAAATGCCAGCCACTAGCAAAAGCAGAGGGAGCCGGGCAGCGGAGAAGGTGAGCCTCAGACGCCCGATTCCAGCTTACGACGTCGAAGCAGTGAGAGCAACGCTGCCGGATGATCAAAAGTATCTATATTAACGCGCATTCGTTCACCTGAAGAACTTGTGAGCTAATCAATCTCCTTACAAGAACTACTTTTAGCGTGTCTCTCGTCACTACATTCGGTACATAAACATGTTTCTGCATTCGATTTTATATATAAGTCACATAAGGAGCAACTCGTGTCACGTTCTGTTCTGTTCATTCCTAGTCGTAACAGAAGCACTTTCTGTTCATCTACGCATTGATTTTGATTCCTAATTTCCTAGTTCGTTGTAGCTGGCTATAATGGTGATTGTGTTTTCTCTCGTTTACAACAGCTTTCTTTCTAACACAAAAGTTTTTGCTCTTCTAGTGACCTCATCAACATTGCTTGACCATGTACTAGTTGACGAGGTAACATGACATGACCAGGTGGATGGCGGACATGACTCCAGAGGAGAGGGAGGAAGAACTGAGGCGGATGAAACGAGCCCAGAAGAAAGCGGATAATGCTCAAGCTGAGAAACTGAAAAAGGAGGTGAAAGTTAAGGCCTTGAGCGGTGTAGTACCTTTGACACGTACTACGAGTTTTCAAGAGATAAGTACCCTTCAAGAGTAGACACGTAGTTTTCCACGTGAGCGGTGTACCCTTTTACCTGTACTACTAGTTTTCAAGAGATGTTGCCCTTCAAGAGTAGACACGTAGTTTTCAAGAGATGCCCTTCAAGTAGACACGGAGTTTTCAAGAGATGCCCTTCAAGTAGACACGTAGTTTTCAAGAGATGCCCTTTAGGTAGACACGTAGTTTTCAAGAGATGCCCTTTAAGTAGACACGTAGTTTTCAAGAGATGTACCAAGGTCTAAGAAAGAAAGGCGAATTTTGGCCGAGAATTGGAAACGGGCGAAGAAGTATGAGCGTCTGGTTTACGGTGTAGGCGAGGGCGATTCGTCAAACGGTGGACCTGTCAACCTCGAGGGCGATTCGTTTTCTTCAACAGGGCCGATCGCGGGGGGCGGCGCTTATCCTTATGAAAGACTAATCTGCGGACTTTCGTAGTTTTGCTGCTTCTTGTAGCATGTTGTAGTACTTCTTCTCGCATTTTTCGTTGGTGTATGGTTTAGTAATGATCAGCGACACAAAGGAAGATAGATTTAAAAGACTACACATCGTCTGACCTTGACCGTCTAATATTCGGCAGGCTACGATATGTACAGGTTGCCGGACGAGAATGCGACGTATGGGTCGACGAGTAGCAAGAAAAAGAAAAACGCGAAGTCAGATGCTGAACATCTTAAAGAAGCATACGACTACTACGGCCATCTGTTAGAGCCGAGCAGGAATCAGCGGAGTGCATTCCGCGTGAAGAAGGAGATGGCGGCTTACGTTGAAATAGGAGTGCCAGAGTCGGAAAAAGACAGGCCCTTGGCTCCGGCTTTGGTGAAAAGCAATCGCTTCCTCATCTACGACCTCGTAAACACGAGCTTCTTCTGTAAGCTGTGTAGAAATGCGAAGAAGAAGTTCAAGAACTTCGATAGGGAGCATCTGGAAGACCCGGCGCATCGGGAAGCTGTTGCGGCTAGGGAGAAGAGCATGCGAGTCCTGGATAGAATCCTGAATCCCGAGAGCGAAAACCCTGTGCGCTTTTCCTGCTTCGAGCCTGGCGGTCCAAAGAAGCCCTACTTGGTAGTGCGAAAGTACCAAGAGGAGATGTACAAGTGGTGCCCCGTCTTGTGGATGTCGTGTCTCTTTTATGGCAGGCAACACTTTCTTTCCATCTTCCTTAGACACCGTGCAAAGGAGCATGAATTGGTTAAAAGGGTACTGGAAGGCATCGTGGTATGATTGCTGTTAAGTACTCACCAGCCTTCTGATATAGGTATATTCCTTCTTATATTAGGTTTTTTTGAAAGAAGAGCTAGTGCTAGAAAATACTAAGTCTCCAATTTCTAATTTCAATGCGGTCCCCAGCACGACGAGGAGCTGACGGAAGAGATGATCTGCAGCGAGCCCTTTCGATGGGAGGATCACCAGTGCACAAAACGCCACAAGAAAAACGTGAATTGGCTGTACGAGCCAGATGAGGAAGGTTTTTTAGCTGATGACCCAGAGGCTAGGAAAGAGCGGAAAAAAGTCGAGGATCAGCGTCAGGATCTCAAGCGTGCAGACGTCGAAGGCTTGCTCTACTACGATGCACGGCTGCCAGACATGGAGGCGGCTAATGATGGCTACTCGTCGGACAACTGGGACATCTAAGAAAAGTTTGACATCTAAGTAGTTAGGAAATCGTTATTGTACATTGGTCGAAAGTATACAAGTATATTAAGCTAAAAGGACCTGCGTCTTGTATCTTTGGTACTAGCTCAGCATCAATTACTATTAGAAGTCGAGGAGTATCTTCATTTCCGTATTCTCGAAAAAGTACATCGCTTTACCTAAAACTTCAACTGATTACTTCCACGGAGGATAAAGATGGCAGTTCATATATCCTGATCATTCAAGACGCCCGTGCGACCACTGTACCAGTACCAGCACATGTTACCTCATCTATCACAGTAAGAGTTTACCTCTAAAAAAATTCCATTGCCCGTAATGATAGAGCTTCACTTTTGCAATAACATACGATCCCGACCTAGTTCCAAAGCCCATGGTGACCCGGACATAAATATTCAAAAGCCCATACATTTCAGATCAGAAGATCTATGAAAAGTCTGCAGATCCCAGAAGTCGGTAAAGAAGGAGTCGCTTCATGGATTCGTAGATAGTACCATGTGCTTAATCGGTTGATATTGGAATCGAAAAAGAGTAAGAGGCTCTATCAAACCTGTAGAAGAATGGACGAACGCGGATTAATCTTTTGAGTGAAGTAGAAACTCGGCGAGTGGACACTGAGTGGCATGTGACCAGCGAAGCTTTCGGTCAAGATCTTCGAGAGAGTCCTTGAACTTGATGTCTTAGATTGATGGCCTTGTTTTATTCTAGGTAAATGTGACGTTTGCTTTTCCCTCCGATTTGGTTTTTTGAGCTTTTACTTTTCAAGAGAAAAACTCGATTGAGAAGCCATTTAATGGACTCCTCACACCACTTTGTTAAGCACGGATGATGTAGATTTTACTCTTCATTCCAACTAGTTTAAGCAAAAGCAGCTTTCTTTCAAGCAACATGTGAACAGTCGGGGAGTACACAGATTGATCACAGTCAGTCGATAACATGGACTAGGACAATATCATCGTTTTGCCTTTTTTTCGCCTATCACGAAGCTCCTGTATAAAGCAAAAAAAATGTTTTCGTCAGCGTTTGCTTCAGAACCTATGCTCGAGGTCAGGGTGGACGAGATGAAGGGACCTCGTCTAGAAGCTGCTACACTCTTCTGCGGTCGCCTCAACTTGACGCAGGGCGTGCTATTCATCACGGGGAGTCATCTTATGTTGCAGGTTCTCTATTTGCTTAATACGCAGAATCTTTATCTTCTTAAAGCTGCGTGCAGTACCTCGAGATCATGGCTGTGTCGAATCCTCTTCGGCACTTCTGCTAGGTAGTGCTGCAAAATCTCAAAGAAGATTCAGGGAAGTCGTAGGTCCAATCCGAACCGACTAACATCATCATCATCCCAGTCTGCTAGTGCTGCAGACACATCTAGCTCTTCCTCCTCTAACAACTTGGTCTTTATGGTCTCCTTTATCGTGGCGATGAGCAGTCAACACAAAATGCGTTTCGCTGGAATGGATATCGGGGTTCAAACACAGTTGATCTACGGAACATGGTACTCTTTACTACTAGTTGTACTAACCATGCACTGAAGGTACTTCTTACTACTAGTTGGACTAACCATGCACTGAAGGTACTTCTTACTACTAGTTGGACTAACCATGCACTGAAGGTACTTCTTACTACTAGTTGTACTAACCATGCACCGAAGGTACTTCTTACTACTAGTTGGACTAACCATGCACTGAAAGAATTATGGTACTAACCATGCACAGAAAGAAAAACCATGCACTGAAAGAATTATGATACATCTCCCCACTTCTAGTTCTAGTACTATGGGATTATCAGAAAACATTTTCGCCGAGGCTGAGCACGACTTATTCTTGCTTGCAATAGATGGGGAGATGTGAATTAATCTTTTTCGATTGGGATATCAACCGATTAAGCACGAGTACCACCAACCAATCCTGGACCAATCCTGAGGTTCCTGTTCGGGATCATTATTGCGATCGGTGGTGGTGTAGGAGTCCTCTATCGCATCGAACTGCAGTTGCGCCGTTACGCGTATTATCTGGGCCTCACGTCCCTGACCCTCGCTTTGCATCTTTTCGGTGCTGTTGTTATGGAAGGAACAGATGGATCGTTTTTAACCTCTTCCTCTAGTGAGGAATAGTTTGGAATCACGCAGCTGCAGGACGACAGAAGATGCAGAGTCAGTCTAATTGGTACTGTGATTACTACAACAGGAACAGATCGTTATTTTTAGCCTCCTCCTCTAGTGACTATAACGTTAACGATAAGGAAGGAACCTTTAGGAACAGATCGTTAACTTCCACCTAGAAGACGAGGTGCCTATCGTGAACCTCTTCCTAGTGACAGATGAGGATCGCGAACGTTACAGAAGGTTAGGTACCTGCTACGGGAACGTGATTACAACAGGAACAGGAGGTACCTACAGGATCTGTTCTGTGATTACAACAGGAACAGGAGGTACCTACGGGAACTGTTCTGTGATTACAACAGGAACAGATCGTTAACCTCCACCTCTAGTACCACAAGGGCTTTTCATCTAATCAACCCAGCGGTGAATTGTGTAGAGCGAATTTAAGTCCGTACCTCCGAAACCTGACGGAGAGCATAATGTGCGGAACGACGAATACTTTCGCGCTGTTTTGCTATGGAGAACGATCTTCAAGAAAAAGTACAATGAAGCAAGTCGAGGATGATCGGTACCATCGATAACGATCCAGTTGGCAGCAATAGAAGATACACGCAAGATTATAATAGTAGTTGTGCAAGATAGTTATTCTGTTGCACACAGACTACATTCATAGTTATGTCGTACTTCTCCTTCCCCCGGCCAATCCACACTCCCCTCCTTCATCTCGCGATCGTCGTTTTCCTGCTCCTTACCTTCTATTGTGCCTACATTGTCTGGTCCGCCGCTGAAGAGGTGCATGTGGCGTTTTTTCCGGAGCTCGAGCAGCATTTGCGGAGGCTCGAAGCTGAAAGGAAGAAAGGGCTCGCGGCACTAGCGGCTCAAAAAGGTGATGCGACGCTGAAAAAGAAATTCGCCACTAAAGAGATGAGTGATTATGGTCAACATTTAGTGTCCATCATTCTCGGCATCTTGGTCCCCTTTTTCCTTGTATCTATTCTCGTGAAATACAAGGTAAAAGGGGTTAAGATGAGGGGGCCGAGATGCAATCTAGCAGACTCTAAAGTGACGAAGCGGAATTCCAACGAAAGATGGCGCGGCTACAGGGGATTACTGATTTTACGGTCCTCTACCAGGCTCGTAGTAAAGTAACTCCACTACGTTTGTATTGGTGTCTATTTGGTTTTTTGAGTAGTTTTCATGCTCAACCAGCACTTGCAGATGATCCGTAAGTGGAACTGACTCTATCGACACAACTCTAAGGCCCTTGAGCAGATTGCAAAAGTCATTGATGAAGAGGAGGACTTGGAAGACATCCCAGATGAAGACGCGGTCACGATTGCGCGATTGGTAGGCGAGGATCAAACGATGCAGGTGTGATGAATCTTCCTGCGGCGGCCAGACGCTCTTGCTAATAAAGCCCTCGACAGTAGAGGTTGATTGATATGGTAGCTAGATAGTTTTTTCTCAACCTCAAGTTGTTGCACCAGAATCTTTTTTCCAACTAAAGCGTGGTGGAAGCTGACCACTGCCTGTAAAGAAATGCGAAGTTTTGCACAGTGCGACCGTTTTAAGTTTTCTCTCCACGGCAAAATCACTCACTGGCCGATTCATTGTCTTCCATGGTGAAACAATGTTTCTACGCCGTGGTCGGCGCCTTGGATTCGGGGTAGAGGTGAGAGGTCCACCTTCTTGGCGAGCGAACAGAGAGCATTGAGATATACCTTGAGCGGGCTGAGAGTATGACGTACATTTTCGCTGCTCACACGACCCCGTAGATTTTGTGCGATTGGAAAAATGCGATCTTGCATCTAGGATCTAGAGTTGGATCCACGGGCAGTATGGGTTCGCATGATGATCCAGCAACCTGTAGTGCCTTAGTTCTTGATCATAATTCATAGCAGAAAAATGACGACTATATCCAGTACTATTTTCATCAAGCGACAATTACAACGACATTTACTCCGATTACACAACCTACCAAAAATATGACGATCCTCTGATACTTGCCTCGTGCTGCGCGACTCTGCTTGTTGGGTAAACCAGCGTAGTAAGAGTCGTAAAGATGCGGTGCCGTAAGAGACGGAGGAGCAAGAAACTTGAGCATGATCGGCTACCTCTACGAAGATGTTCTGCTGCCATGAAGCCGATTGCTCCGAAGATCATGGGGTCCTGCACTACCAGCATCGGTAACTGCACAACGATCAGCTGGAGGAAGACGAAATATCCGCGGCCAGCGATGTTTCGACCCCAAAATTTTTTCGGGGTCGTGCTGTTAGCGACAACCACACACTTCCTCATACGTTGCATGGCTTACGATGCTCACGTCCAAGATGACGGTCCCATGGATCCTCTGACTATGGGTCTATACCAAGACCCGAACTGTCTCAAAAGTCCTTTCTGGTCTCAAATACTGCGAAAACTACACGCCTGCTCTGCGGATGAAGTGGATCAGGTAAGTACAGTGGCTTTTGCCGATATGGAGGAGGATGGAACGACTAGTAGCTCTACTACTACTGGGAATGAAGTCACTACCACAGCTTCGGGTGATGATGAAGAGCGGTCATGGTTTGAGGAGACAGCAGGAGGTTCTGGTGGTAGTTCTGGAGAGGAAAAACAAGAAGCAAAAGGCAAAGCAGCTCCAAGACTGGTGCCACCGAAATTTCCTCAGTGCTACAATGCGCCTTATGTGCGAGGAAATCGCGTCAGTTTGGCTGGCTATTTCATGCGAAACTTTGGGTTGGACGCGCTTTTGAACTTATGGAAAATCATTGTGGTTTAGTCACATCGAAGAAAACCAAAACTACTATCCTCTACTCTGTGCTCCTGACGTGTACTTCTGTGGCTTTCTCTCAAATGAGAAGGCATCACGACGACCAGATAAGAAACAACTCGAACAACTCCAACCTGAACACTCACAAAGAATAAAAAAACCAGCAATATCTTAATCGCTAGGACAACAACTCCTACCTGAACACTCACAAAGAATAAAAAAACCAGCATTAGACATTCTTCTACACCCCAAGATTGGGTACACTACTACTACTACTACTACTACTACTTAATCTTATGCGCTATAACAAAACAACGATCCATGTCTTTTAGGGGCATATACGCTTTTCATGTTCAACATCTGGAACTCTTGGAATGGAGGGAGCATGCATGGAACGCTCGTAAACTTCGCGAATTTGAACGATAATTTTTTGGAGGGGGTACCTACTTTATGGCTCACCCTTATCCATCTTCTGACGCATCCTCGGGAGGTTTCTCAAGCGGAAAAGGGCCCTGGGATGAGTTTCAAGATGGATAAGGGTGAGCTCTAATTACTACTTCTTGCTAAAAATTACGGCGTCTCTATTTCGTTTCCCTCTCTATTTCGTTCCACTCTCAAGAGTCGGGAAGATGTTCGTTTGGTGTATGCGCTTGGGTTTATGCGTTTGTTGTCTTTGCTTTCATGTTGAATTCACCTTAACCTCTTTCTGAATTCATAAGTTGTTATTCTTCTTGAATACACGAAGGAAAACGACCTCCTTTTTCAATCCCATCAGCTATCTCCTGTTGAGTTTCTCATTGTTCTCTTTATTTGAACAATTCACTTCTACTTCTCCTCCGTTCTGGTACTAGATGACGCCGCAATTTTACGAGAAGTCCGTTTGGCCTTTGAAGGATAGTGAATTGCGCGTTCTACGAGCGGAAATACTCTACAACATTCGCAAGTATCGGCAGCATTTTTTAACAACCAACGCAAGCGCGACTGAGGAGGATGGCGGCCAAGTGTATCGGGATGATTAAGGCAACCACGAACGCATCCTGAGCATTGTTTTTGGTTTTTTCTTTAAGGAGAAAAAGAGATGGTTTCAGGGATGCGACGCGATAGCTCGAAAATGCGATGCGGCGACAGGTTACGCAGCGTGCGCGACGACCTTTCGTTGACGTCCCACAGTGGGAATCAACGCCGTTTCACGCATATACAGGGAATCCGATACGGAATACACCGTTAAGGGTAGGTTAAAGGTGCTTTTCTTACCGCTTTTTATGCCTCTCCTAAGGGAGAAAGGCATAAAAAGCGGGGTAAGCGAGCACCAAAAACCTACCTCTAACACCGCAAACGAAAGTAAGAATCTACGTCTATGACGATGGGTTTGGAGCAGAGATAGGGAAACTGACAACGGGAGCTTCGTTCTGCCATAGAAGACAATGGTTAAGGCGTTTTCTAATCGTCCCTTCACAGTTCCATCTTCCACAGAAGGGAAGCTCTTCTAAGTTAGATGGATAACGGGAAGCTCTTCTAAGTTGAGGCTCCGATGTAGGAAGCTCTTCTAAGTTAGATGGATAACGGGAAGCTCTTCTAAGTTGAGGCTCCGATGTAGGCTTCTACGACTTCTTCCGACAAGCGCCGGAGATGACCAAAGACCCGGACGAGGCTGATTTTTTCTTCGTCCCTGGTTTCGCATTGTGCCTTCAAGTCGCGGGTTATTACACCTTAGAGGAGTTAGACCGAATCTACAGTGCTCTGATGTCGAAATTGACGTACTTTTATGGTGGTCAACATTTTGTGGCGATCATTCACATTCTCGGCATCTTGGTCCCCTTTTCCCTTGTATTCTCGTGAAATAAAAGGTAAGTAATGCTACAAGGTAAGTATTATTCCTAGGAAATGCTACAAGGGTAGTAAAGCGGCCAAGATGAGGGGGCCGAGATGCAATCTCGCAGACTCTAATACTTTTCACGGAACGGAGGACGCGACCATATCTTCACGTTTCACTACCAAGACGTGTTTCGCTCGTGGCGAAAGTACATTCCGCACAGCATATTCTTGACGCCGGAGATTATGGCTGCTGGGAATGGATTGAGCATGATTTCTAGAGCATTCACTAAGAGGAATGAACAGAGTCCTAAGTGAAGTAAAGAAGGCTTCGACACGACTTTTCCTACGAAATGTCGCAACTATGCATATACGCAAACGCAGTCTTTCATCAACCCTTTCTAACAAACCGGAAGTAGGTTTTGAGCTATCCATATCGGAGTTAGGATACGACCCAACGAGGCAGCCGGTCTTTGACACGCGGAAGGACATTGTGACGCCGCCTTTCATGGAGTTCAAGCACGTTCTTGGCCTCTTGACGTTTAACCGACCAATACGGGCGCGGAATATATTTTTATGACAAGGTTACGCTTGGATTGCGAAGAGCGTAGTGTCCGCCTGCTGCAGTGGCAACTACCAGAAGTAGAAGATTACAATTGCGACATTTTCTTATGATGTTTTCATCTTCGAGTAAAATTAAATCGTACTAACTGGCCCCTCCTGCCTCAAGAACATCGTTCCTTCAGTCACAACTGCCTCATCGCTCTAAAACCTGCCAGTTTCGCAGGCAAGCTCTGGGCGGACGTTGCAGAGGCCTATGAGGTGCGCAGTAGCATGAAGAGAGAACTCTCTCAGTACGAAGACTGTCACATTCATGCTGAGAATTCGATGGCTCAACTCTTGCGTAGTCGGGAAATGTACGCTCTTATGTTATGAATAATGGGAATAGGAAATAATGCTCGTGCTCGTCATGAAGAGTCATGAAAGATCATTCGAGATTGTAAAACAACTTACAAAGTCTTTAAATAGAGGCATGAATCTTGTCAATGTCACTTATCTTCACCTGTGTGACGCAAAACCATTGTTCTGATTCTAATCCAAGGCGACTCCCGCTTCTGTTTAGTCCCACGGGGTCGGGCTGCTTGGTCCGTCCGGTTTTTCGAAACTATGTGGGCTGGGTGCGTGCCTGTGATACTGTCGGATCACTTCGAGACGCCATTTGAAGGCCTATTCGACGTAAGCAAATTCGCTATAAAGTGGCCTGTTGCGAAGATGGGGGAGTTGTATGTTATGGCGAAACTTGTAGTGTCTCTACGAGAAGAGACAAAGGAATTAAGATTTTTTTTTGGTTTTGACGTTGATGTCGTGCTGGAAAATAGAGAGAAAAATGACAGTAACTTGAAGTTCTGAACTCTAAGTAGAACTACCTGAAGAAAATACCACTCTGGAGACTAGAGAGGATGCTGGGAGAAGCAGCGCGGATACGATGCTGGTACCTCTACACGCAACCAGAGATTAGTTGGCTTGGGAATCCGAAGGAACTACTTATGGCGTGAGCGGCATCAATCATAATCAAACACGACACTTCATTATAAATATTTCATTTCACCGTGTTCATCATAGTCAAACCTCTTCTCTTGCGCACCCACTCACGAGAAGCCTTTCATACTCAACTCGCAGCACCAACTCGAGGACGTGGTATGTCCAAATCTCGGTTCCTCTCGCAACGCGTATCAGGCAGTGCTCGAGTTGTTGTCCCGGAAAGTGAGGAAGAGCCCGCAGAATTCAGCAGATGGGGGTCCGGCGTTCTTTTTTCCCAACGTCGATGAGATGGCTCCACTGATGGAAACATTATGGCAACAAAAATATCTGAGATTGAGATTCTGTCTTAGCCTCTTGCTAAACCTAAAGAGCAAGGAATTAGCAGCGATCATGATTAGGATAGGATACATTTATTGGGTACTTCTTTCGACCTCGTCCACCTCTAACGACAGAAGTCCGAGACAATAATCTTACGCGTTACGCAACACGCAGTGCGGAGTCGTCGGCTCTGATACCTGTTTCTCGCTGATCGGTGCGGTTTCGCGCTGGTTTATTTTTACAGCAACGCTTGCTTTCGAGTTCTTTTACAGTTTTTTACGAACACCAGGTTCTTGATCACTTTGCTATATCTTGTTACTCGTAGACTGTTCAGGTTCATGTTAAGCTTGGCAGCAAGAAAATCCACGCTATCGATCGATTCCTTGACTTCAAAGTAAACACTTCTACAACTTCCAATGTACCTCTCCTCGGAATACGATAGGAAAAGGCGCAGTACACGGAAACAAAATTCGAAAAACAGTAGTGAATTGTATTATGTGTTCGTTCTTGCGATGTGGGTGGATCCTGTGTGATTGGCGATGCGTATTCATGCTGCACGTGAGAGAAATTGGAATGATGAAAGCAGTTTCCCGAAACTCCGACTGGTGCGCGCATTCTTCTGATTTTGGCGATCAAGTAGAGGATCAAGTTGTTGTCTTTTTACTACCATGCTCATTCGTTCTCTATTCTTCACAGTTTGTTTGTTTTGAGGATCGTGGAGTTAGTTTTTTTGCGGCCTGATATGCCTTATGTTTTTTTCGATTACGTAGGTGAATACGTCTGCTTACGAGTGCTGCGTTTCATGTCACGTTAGTTGGGACTAGGTACGTAAGTTCAAGTAGCGGCCTCCCAGTAAAACCGCTTGGGTCAACAAAATGTCCGTGCTACTCGAAACGTCTCTTGGCGACATAGTGGTTGACCTCTACCATGAGGAGTGTCCACTTGCTGCCAGAAACTTCGTTAAACTCTGCAAGAGCAAATTCTACAACAACTGCTTGTTCGACAAAGTGGAGAAAGGTCATTTAGCCTTCTGTGGGGATCCGCATCGGGATGGTGGCGAGTCTATTTGGCATCGGCTGGGATCGAACGGAGGTAAAAAGGATTCAGATTCTCCACCAAAGAGGTTCTTCGCAGATGAGGTCCAACCGAGTTTAACGCACGCAAAGCGAGGAACGCTAGGTATGGCCACTGAAAAGCCAGATTCGAATGGCTCCAAGTTCTACATCACCCTCGCAGACGGCAAGCACGCATTGGATGGCGCACATACGATTTTCGGCAGAATAGCGGAAGAAGAAGGTCTCGAAGTCTTAGACAAATTGAACGAGATGCTGTGCGACCCCGCTGGAAGACCCTACGTTCATGTCCGGATTCGACATACGGTTTTGCTAGATGATCCCTTTGACGACATTGGGGATGAAGAAGGGTACGAGTCGCCGGATGAATTCCGTGACGGCGAAGATGCATTGGATAAAGCGAAAAAGATGGCTGGAATCGGAGACTTGAAAACAGCAAACGCGGCGAACCCATTGGCAGCGCAGGCTCAAGAAAGCGCAGATGCACTGGCAGAACAACTGGAGAGAATCAAGGCAGCAGATGCACGGTCTCAGGCAATTACGCTGGAACTTTTGCAGGACTTACCGGATGCAGATATCAAACCGCCGGATAATGTGCTGTTTTTATGCAATGATTTAGACTTCGACTTGGTCAGGACTTTGAAGATCATGGTGATTTCCAGAGCACAGAGGTAAAGTAGTAGGTTATCACGTGCTCCTGCTGTATCTCTACTTAGACATCAATACAGGAGGTGATCGTGCAGGTGATGTAGTTGATGATCATCCCTCGTTCTTGACCTTTGTTCTAAGGGCAATCGCCAAGCTGAACCCGGTTACCCAGGACAGCGATTTGCAGTTACTCTTCGAACGTTTTGGTCTCATCAGGAGTTGCGAAATCATCCGAGATTTCAAAACAGGCGATAGTCTGCAGTATGCTTTTATCGAGTACGAAGCCGAAAGGGATGCGGAAGAGGCGTTCTTTAAGATGCAAGGCGTTTTGGTTGACGGCCGTCGTATCCATGTGGACTTCTCCCAGAGTATTAGCAAATCTTTCTCAATGTTCAAAAGCGGCCGGATCGGTGCGGACGAGTTGGCGGCGTTGGGAGTCGAGAAGGGGGCGGGGTCGATGATATGGGAAATATGTTGTCCTGGAATGAATTTTAATATAAAAACTACTACCGGTTAGTTTTTACCTCTAGAAATCTAGCCCCTCAAACAATAAATATAAAGAGCGATCATGTTTGTCGTATCGTTTCTAGTACAGCTGCTAGAGAGCAATACGTTCTTTACATTCGTTTGGCTTCACGAGAACAGACAGACATTACAACCACTAAGCCTACGTTTACAACTAAGTAGAAATCGTCCCGGCCTCCTATTATGTTCTTTTTGAGCTTTGTTCGTGCTTCTTCGGACACTAAGTTTCACCGGCAAAGGCGAGCAGAAGGACTATTCTGGTGGTAGCAAGGACGGGAAAAAGGGAGACGGCAAGAAAGGTGGTGGAAAGTATAAAGGCGGTGGTTTCAAGGGCAAAGATTCGAGTTCCTCAAGCAAAGGTGGTCTTTTTAATCGGGAACAGACTCACCGCCCTAGAGAGTATAGCGATAGACCACCTGCTCACCACGAAAGGTCTACTTCTACTTCTCACCATGAAAGAGAAAGACCTAATCAGCATGGGCATGGCAGTGACGGACATCGAGGTAGAGGAACAGGAGACCATGACAGACGAAGAAACAGACGTTCCGAGTCTAGAAGGAGGAAGAGACAAAACTCAAGATCGCGCAGTGGGCATCGTAGCCATTTCAATAAGGAAGATAAGATTACGAGAAGGTGATGAAGGAAGGAAGTTGGTTGGCTCCACAACTCTAGTAGGCAAGGAAGTCAGGATACGGTGGGTATGTATATGAAAATTCCTCCCTGATGTAGTAGCCGTGTCTAATCTCCGATACCACGATGACGACCGTCACGCAAAACGGCACCGGTAGGTTGAGGATAGAAGAGGGCTCTAGAAGTTGAAGGCAGTGACATTTCATGACGAATTACCTTAGCATATCCTGCTGCGCTTGCCTCCCCAAAGAATGAACGCCAGGGGTTTGAACGAACACATGACCACAAGCTGAGTAAAGCGTTTGAGAGCCTTTCAGTTTCAGGTAGACGAAAGATCCTATTACAATTTCGAAGAAAAACTAAATTTTAGTGCGGTCGTCTTTGCTTTCATAGGTCGCTTACTCCGCCATGCGGAACTACTACGACTACATCAAACCTGTGTGTCTGCGTACTGCAGTTTTGTGCTGCTTCATAACCGTTGACAGTCTTATTCCCTTTCCCCCACAATCAAGCTGGTGCTAAGTATCAATATCAACATGAAGGCAAAGAAGCATTCACTACTTCTGTGTCCACCACATTTCTTGACCTGTTCGTTCATCATTTCTTGACCTGTTCGAATAGGAGAGGACGACAGAGATCCTGAACAGTGTTAGACGAACTGTGAGAGAGTGCCAGGATCTGAGACGAACTGTGAGAGAGTGCAATGGAATATGACGATAGAATGATTCTGATCACCCTCCTCATCCTCAAACAAACACCCATGTAGCATTACATCTCGTCTGTTGTCTGCGAAATACAAAGAATCCTATTCAAAGAATTCGAGCTCAGCTCGTTCTGTTGTCTGTGAAACGTAAACGCCATTCTTTTTTTTATAATTCTACCATGGATCAAGATCATCTTAACATAAGTAGTTAGAACTTCAACTGTAAGAAGATAGAGATACTAGTACAACATCTTTTTTTGAAATTTCCCTTTCCCTCCTCTCGTTCTCGCTGCCTTCTGACTCGTTCTCAAACGTCACTCCGCTCACGCTTTACACAAACGTTCCCTATAATTACATCTCTGTTATCTTCTCTTCGGAAGAGAGCAGAATTTCGTCAAACGCAGAGCAACCAGATGTCCGCGATTCAGACCATGCCTTCTGGGAATTGTTCTTTGTCAGCAGAAGGGGATTCTCCTTGTTATGATTATAATTTGGATTTTCGTCGAGTTACTGACCGAAATAAGGGAGGTAGCTCTGACAGGGCTACTCTTCCTTGTTCAGTATCTCGCTTATTGTAAGTAGTTACTCGCTTATTTCAGTTTTTCGAGTACTCCGTTTCTCATGCAGGCTCTAAAAATTTGGAGGCCTCACTTCGTTGCCATGCGAAGTGTTACTGCATGTGGCGTCTTTCCTTGGCACCGGATTCTACCTGGCAGCACGCACAGACCATGATCACGGCGATGCCAAACAAGCTCAAAGATGTTATGCCGCATCTTCAATATTTTTATTGTCCCTCATAACTAAGTGCTTAACATGAAACCTCTTGTTGGTTTGAAAAAAGGGACACGTCTCTCTTGAGTGTCGTATTCACAATACTAGCTTGGAGCGTCCGATAACATCCCTCCCACTAGGATCCCCCTCCTCCCCAAAATAAGAAACCAAACAAGGCAAAGATGTAAGCGATACGCGTTCTCAAATTTCGAAAATTTTCCACGTTTTGCCATCGTTTGAGGATTGGGCCTCGTGCGTTTGAAGTCAAGGGCTAAGATCCCGAATCTTTTTGACTTTAAGCCGTTCCGCTGAAATTCAACTTCTTGGATTTGCGTTCTTCAAATTTCGAAAATTCTCCACGTTTTATGGTCGTTCTGGGATTGAATTTTGTGCGTTTGAAGCGCTAAAGCCCCAAAGTTTTTAAATTTCAGCCCTTTCCCTGCGATTCAGTTTCTTGATTTGCATTTTTCAAATTTCGAAAATTTTCCACATTTTGGCGCCGTTTTGGGGTTGAATTCTGTGCGTTTGAAGTGCTAAAGTCCCAAAATTTTTGATTTTAAGCCCTTTCCCTGAGATT